ACAGATAAGAGGGAAGAAACACCTCCACTAAACAATACCCTAGCAACCTGAACTCTTCTCTCTCCTCCTCTCTGGGCTGTTTTAACATTGGAGGTGCCTGCACCCAGGCCTTGGGGCCGGTAACCAGGCTTCAGCGTCTGTTGCTAAGGAAGGAGGGGCCTCAGCTGTGCCCAGATACAAGACTGGGCTTGACTCAGCTGGTGTCTCCCTTTGCTGGAGGCCTGGCTGGGCAGCAGAAATTGGTGGTGACAGAAAGGAAGATGGGAGGGTGTTTAGCAAAGATCCGGGAATGTAGAGATGAGCGGCAATAAAAGACTATGCCTTTGGTAAAGTCTAAATGCCTATAGCATGGTGGTTAAATTCTCAGGCTGGACCCAGCTGGGTTCAGATCCTGCCCTTCCCATTAATTAGCTTTGTGGCTTGACGAAGTTGCTTAATCTCTCTAAATGTCCTTCTTAAATGTAAAATGGCAACAAACTTGAGTACCTACCTCACAGGGTAGGTTGGAAGGTTTAATGAGATAATGTCTGTAAAGCAATCTGCACAGAGCAGGAGGATGACCAACTCATCCCAGTTTGCCTGTGACTTTCTGGGTTTTAACACTCCAAGTCCTGTATCCAGGGAACCCCCGCAGTCCTAGGCAGTGGGATCGTTTGGTCACCTGATATAGGAGGCACTCTATAGATGTTGTGGCTAACACAATTCTTTCTTTTTTTTTTTAAATATAATTCTTATTATAAACACAGAAACACACATACACATACTCACACACATGTATACTTGTGTACACAGGTTACAGTATTAGCTGCTGTCCAAACATTCAAAGCACACATTATTTGGTCGCTTGAGTTCCCTCAAAACCAAGTTAGACTTATTGAGCTCTTTTGGGGTGCCATGCTTGCATATCTGTTATTTCATTCAATTTTCCCCAAAATGCCATGTTGTTCCCATTTTATGGAGGAGAAAACCAAAACTGAGAAAAATACATAACTTTCCCAAATTGATGCAACTCATAAGAGCTAATAGAAGTTGAAGCCTGTCCTTATGACTCCAGAGTCCATTGCTCTTTCCACAAAGGACCTATCCAGAAAACAAACATTTCTGAGATCCTACCAGCACAGCACCAAGTACTTCTGTTTCTCCTTTTTCTTACTTTTTTATTTTTTAAGTTTATTTACTTTTATTTTGAGAGAGGCAGAGTGCATGAGCAGGGGAGGGGCAGAGAGGGGGAGAGAGAGACTCCCAAACAGGCTCTGTACTGTCAGCCCTGATCCAAGATCAAGAGTCAGATGTTTAACCAACTAAGCCACCCAGGCACCCCTCTCCATACTTTGAAAATAACCTTGTGCTTCCCCATCTCTTTTATTTCTACTCTCTACCATCAGACATATATGGAGAGTCCGCTTTTAGGCAAACAATCTTGAGCAATGGAATGTAGAAAGGGCTCACAGTGACCTCCTGGCTGAATATACACAAGACCATCAGGGGACTCACCTCAAAACATCCATAGGCCCTAACTAACCAATGGGCTACTTACAACCAGGCACAGTTACCATAAAGTCTCCCTTTTTTCCATACATCCCCATTCCTCCTCACATTTCCCTTTTAAAAATAGCCCCCACCCAATGCCTCTCCTTTGCTGTCCTGCCCCTCCCAACCTCCCTTGAGGTGTATTTGGTAAACTTCTAGCTTCCTTGTTCTGCCTCAGGTGAATCCTTCACTGCCCTTGCCACTGTTTTCCACCTGATCGTTACCCCACAACTGGGAGCCCCCATCTTCTGGACAGACACGACATTTAGATAACACAATATATACAATTTCAAATAGTATCTGGAATAAATGAACTAGTGACAGGGTTTGAAACTTTGGTTTAGACAGAAATGGGGTTATTACCAGGCCTCCTATAATGGGGCACGAAACCCAATGTCACACAAAAACCAGCGGCTGTAGCCCAACAAAGTGAAACAGTAGAAAGAGACTGGTATGGTGCTAATGAGCCCCATGGCCCTGTGGGTGAGGAGGAGACATGCTTCCATCTGAAAGTTAGTGAACTCTAAGTCTACCTGTGTTCAAAAACATCAAAACAATGATTATGACTTCCATGTATTGAGCTATACTATCTGCTAGCACTGTGCTAAGCATCATCTTTCCAAATCTTCTCAACAACCCAGAAAATAAATACAATTATTATCCCAAGTTTTATGGCTGAGGAAACAGACACAGGCAGGTTAAATCACTCAGCTAGGTTGGTGGCAAAGTTGGGACTTGAACCTGACTATGGAATCTGTTCCCTAGCTTTAACCAAAAACCTACGTGTGGTCTGTTACGTAGAAAATAAATAAATAGGGCGCCTGGGTAGCTCAGTCGGTTAAGTGTCTGACTTCGGCTCAGGTCATGATCTCACGGTTGAGTTCCTGAGTTTCAGCCCCAGGTCAGACACTGTGCTGCCAGCTCAGAACCTGGAGCCTGCTTCAGACTGTGTGTCTCCCTCTCTCTCTGTCTCTCCCCTGCTCATGCTGTTTCTCTCTCTCTCAAAAATAAACATTTAAAAATTAAAAAATAAATAAATAAAATATCTACTAAGGAGAATGAAAATGCCATCTCCCCCAACACACTCCCCAGCTACCTCATCTGCACCAGAATTGTCTGACTTAATCTTCTGTCTGATAAGTCCCAAGAGGGATGCAGGCTTCAAATCCCTCAATCCCTCAACTCTAAGTACACAGGGTTGCCAGATGTAACACAGGATGCCCAGTAAAATTAGAATTTCAGATAAACAACAAATAATTTTTTTAGCATAAGTTTATCCCATTTGGTATTTGGGACATAATTATGTTAAAAAGTTATCTGTTGTTCACTTGAAATTCACTCTGAACTGGGTGTCCTGGATTTTTATTTGCTAAATCTGGCAATACAGGGAGAAGAGGTCAGTTAGAGTCTGGTTTGTCCCCATCTCTGTGATATAAACAGCTTAGGATCTCAATGTGTTGTGGGGAAATTTTCAGACATTTCTTATTCAGAGCCCAGGGCTCCTGGCAGATCTTTTCTAAGACCTGAAATGGTTGCTCACCCAGAGTAAGTAATCTCTGAAAAGCATAGAAGAGGATGCATATGGATATATCTTATTGACCCATCAATGGTCATCATGAGCCAAGTCCTGATGCTATGGAGAGAGCTAAGATCCTAGTCATCAGAGTATACATAACATGGTGCAGAAGGCAGCCAAAGCACAAGGATAAAACAAAACCTGGCTGTCCCTACAATGACAGAGGTGGGGGAGGGGGAAGTAAAGGATTCACAAAGACGCCCCTAGATGGCACTCTTGAACAATCCCACGGAGGACCCAGTTCAACTTTCGAAAGGAAATAAGAATGATGGTTGTAATGTTTTGTTCTAAAGGAAAAAAACCCACAACCTTTTCTTAGATGGGGCACCCATCATACTGCAGCAAATCAAAGTGCATGAAGCCACACAGGATTGCCTGAAACTTAAGAATTTAGGGACACTTATCCCCACCATTAGCTCCTCTTTTCTTGGCTGCTGTGGAGGTAGAGCAGGATTCCTTAGCTTTTTTTTTTTTTTTTTTTTTAAGTTTATTTACTTTGAGAGAGAAAGAGAGAGAGAGTGAGCAGGGGAGGGGCAGAGAGAGAGGGGGAGAGAGAATCCAAGCAGGCCCAGCGCTGTCAGTGCAGAACCTGATGCGGGGCTCAGACTTACAAATTATGATATGAGATCATGACCTGCTTAACCAACTGAGCCACCAAGGCGCCCCCTTTAGCTTCTTTTTATTCTTACTAACCCCAAGCTTGTCTTTATCCACCAGCCTGTTTATTTCTAGAAACATTAGTTGGTAAAAGACTGTGCCATCCAATCTTTTTGAGTCTCTTTTATACTCCAGATAGGTATTAACTTCTTTATAGCTATTATTGCACATGTCCTCACTAAAACCCTGTGACTGTCATCCAGGTCACAGAAGAAAGGTAGGTCAACATAGGTCCCTGGATGGAAAGTGCCTGAAAACTATGTAGTAGCAGGCCAATGCACGGGCCTATCATTTTAGAGACAAAGCCCAGGCTTAGAGAGGTAACTCACCAAGGTCACACAGTAAGCCATGAGATCAGAGCCCAGAACTGTTGGGATCCTCCTCCCCCCGCCATGGTGTTTACGGATACACTCAACCCTCAATCGCAGTGGGTCTCAGCTGGGGACGATTGTGCCCCCTCACAGAACCTGTGGCAACGTTTGGGGACATTTTTTGGTTGTCACAACTGGGAGGAAAGGGATTACTACTGGCATCTAGTGGGTAGAGGCCAGGAATGCTGCTAAACATTCTACAATTCACAGCCCCTTAATACAGAATTTTCCCACCTACTAAGTCAATATTGCTGCCATTGAGAAACCCTGCTCTATGGGTTTGGGGCCAGGGAACGTGTCTGGCTCTGATGTAGAACTGAGGGACTTAGGTTTAGACTTTTTCATCCATAAAAAAAAAACAGAGATAATAGCTGAACCCATCTTTAAGGATCTCGCGGGTTCGTGACTTCTGCATGAAAAGTAATGGCTAACACCTTCCAGTAAAGGCCATACCTCATTGTTGGGTGTCCTGAACTCCAGGAATGCTTCCAGAAGAGTTGGTACAGGTGTAGACATTTAGGCAGGGGAAGCCCTAAGACTACACAAACCCGTGCTCAGAGGCCAGCCCACCTGTGTTGGCGGTGGCATGGGCACTCTCACCTCAAGCCAAGGGTGTGGGACGGGCAATTTCTTTTGGGCCTCAGTTTCCTCATCTGTAAAGCTCTCAGGGCCTGTTGGGATGGCTCCAAAACGCTGAGGCAGAGAGCGCGCTCGGCGGAGCATGGTGCGCGAGGCCAGGGCGCGCCTTTGCCGGCTCCGGCTCCCTCCGGCAGCAGGCGGGAAGAGCCGAGCAGAGCGAAGTTGGGGTAGACGTCGGCAACCGAGGGGCGGGGGAAGGGGCGGGGCGAGGGCGGAGAAGGGGCGGGACGCGGCGCAGGGAGGTGGCCGGCCGGGACTGGGCAGGAAGCCGGCCGCAGCTCCCGCCAGTGCCGAAGAACCTTCCTTCCTCCTCCTCCTTGACCTTTCCCCCTCTTCCCATCTCCCTCAGCTCCGGTCGCAGACACCGGTAAGTGTAGCCGCCGGGCCTTGGTGAGAGCTCGAAGCTTGGGTGGTAGGATACAGCATGCCTGGGCTGGCTAGACCCCCTCGCGGGGAAGGGCAAATGAGAAGGCAGTGGGTGCCTAGCGGTGTGGTCCCCTGTCCGCTGTTTAGCGAAAAGGGACGTCTTACCCCTTCGAAGCCTTAAAACGGGCTCGGAGTGCACACACACCCTCACATCCACCACTAGATTTGATAGCAGGCTTGCCAGTCCCATCCCACCCCCGAGACCCTGCCCCTTGGGGAAACCCGGCTGGGGAGTCTCTAAACCCTTTCCGCAGGATTAATGAAAATGGGTGCCCACCTTCTCAAGGGGTCCCTCCTCTCTACCGAGGGACCCTCTCCCTTGTCACTGCAGAGAGGGGAGCTCCAAGTAACAAAGGTGTATTCTTTTCCCCCAAATTAATGACAAGAGTACTCCACTCGCCCCTGAACTTCCCTTTCTTAGCCTCCGTGCTCTCTCGTAGGCGGACCACCCTCTCCACCTGCATCCCTGCCGCTTCCCCCCATGCCCATGGATCCCTAGAAGCAGGGCGCCTCCTCCCCCTCGCGGCTTCGAAGGCTGAGAGACTTGGAAGCTGCTGGGTGAAGCGGCCCGGGTAGGCCCGAGGCGCCCCGCATTCCTTTTCCCCAAAAAGAGATGCGCCCCCTTTCCCTTCTAGCTGGAACGCTCCGGGTGGCCGTTAGCCCCGGGAGGGGCGGGAGTGGAAGAGCCATGGCTGGGGGAGGGGGACGGGAAGGTTGGTTAGTGATCTCTTTGGTCAGCCGGGAAGGCGGAGAAGGCAGGTAATTTATGGGCTGCGCAGGGTTAAGAGATTGCCGCCTTCGGTTTGGAAACTTCTAAGTGCCTGGGGAGACCCCTCCGTAGAGTGAGTGATTAGGCAGTCTGGGGATTGGAAGCCAGGTGGATGTATTTCACGGCAATGGCCCACCGCTTTCTACCCACGCTGGTTCCCATCGGACTTCCCTAACCGGTCTGGGTGGCCCTTGGGTTCCCTAAGGCCTCTGGAGACCAGTAAGGGGAGCTGGGCTTGTTTCTGCCCGCTGCAGAGATGAGATTAGGGGAGCTGAGTCCTGGGAACATCCCAAATCCAAAATCTGTGCGAGTAGCAGCTTCAAAGACAGAATATGGCTGTAGAGGGGTTAGTCCTTTACTGTGCAAAGCGTTCCTGTTTCACAAACGGGGTTGTAGCAGAAGCACTCTAGCTGGGGTAATTAAAATGGACTTTAATTTTCATTCTAGGCCCTAGTGGTATTAATAAGTAACCCCTCCCCCCTTAACTCACATAATTACCATGTGGTGTAGTCAATATGGTAAACAAATGTCGGCATCACTCAGTTAATTTTGGCCACTGTGACAGGATCTTTGAGGCTTTTTTACTATCAGTAGCAAGAGGTCATTTGTAAGGAAGAAATTGTGTCCAGCCCTCCAGTTTTGGAAAATACAAAATAAGAACAATATGTTTTTTGTATGAAAATCCAGTAAGGGTTAAAAAAATAGATATCTAATTGAACAAATTGGTTTTATAAGTTATATGTGATTAGGACAGTCCTGGAAATTAAAGGCTGTTGAGTTAGGGAGTATATTGTAGCTAGGTTTCCCCTTGAGGCACCTCTTGTTAGGAGATTTACAAGTAAATAGAGAATGATTTATGATGCTGTGTAATTGGGAGCCAACCTGTTAATGTGGGTAGTGAATAAAGAAATTGACCACCATCATTGCTTAAGAAAAGCTTTCTGGGGGGAAAAAGGCAATGGGACTTAAATAGTGTTTCACCTTTCACCTTTCTTTGCAACAGTTTGTCGGGCTAAAAAAAATAAACGTAAGCCCCCAGAGATAATATCATTAATATTTTGGTATTATATGATACATATCCTTCTAGGTCTTTTATTTTACTATGGAATATAGACGTAAAATACTAAGGTTTACGTAACAGTATGGGATATCTTGTAATTTTTTTTTTACTTATTACCATGGATGTATTTTCATATCACTAAATGTCCATATTATCATTATTTAAAATGTTTATTTGTTTATTTTGAAGGGAGTGGAGAGGGGTGGAGAGGGGTAGGGAGAGAGAATCCCAAGCAGGCTTTGTGCTGACAATACAGAGCCAGATGCAGGGCTGGATCTCACAAATTGTGAGATCGTGACCTGAGCCAAAAGCAAGATTCAGACATTTAACCGACTAAACCACCCAGGCACCCCTCCACACTATCATTTTAACAAGTAACGAATACTCCATTTTATGAATTTATCATTATTTAACCAATTTCTTACAGTTAGCTTCTTTCCAATGTTTTGCTGCTTATTACATACTATAAATACGATTGCACTGCACATCCTTTTTGTATGTTTTGATATACCTATTTGATTATCTCCTTCAGATTCTGGAAAATGAATTGTTGGAAGAAGGTGTGTGCACTTAGAGATTTTGATACATACGGCCAAGCTACCCTCCACCTGCACACCTACCATCAATGCGTGAGGATAGTAGAAGCTTTTGTTGAACTGGCTGGGTGAATACTACTAATGGTTTAAGTTACTTCTTGTTTCACCAGTGACAGCAAGAGACAGGGTGACATGAGAGATTCGACTGCACCCTGCCCTGGACAGCTTACAGATAGAAGAATTAACCCATAAAGAGACTGAAGTGGGTTTCAGGATGGCAAAAGAAGACCTCCCAAGTACCTCAAAGGACTTGCAGGAACTGCAGAGGAAGCTGTCTTTGCTGATTGAGTCTATCCAGAATAACTCAAAGGTCAGTTTCCAATCAGGGTATGTAATGGAAAAATCCCAAAATAACACCAGCTTAAACAGCATAGAAGGTTATTTCTCTCTGAGGTAGAAGAAATTTGGAGTAGGTCAGGAATCTTTCTAATTCACCACTCTGACATGCCTAAATTGTGATCTTCAAACTCATTGTCCAAGATGGCTGCTAAAGTATCAGCCACTGTATTCACATTTCAGGCTATGGGATGGAGGAGGGAAGGGGAGAAAGACTTGCAAGCCACTTCTAATTTAAAGGCCTTCCTAGAAGTCACACACAGGTAGCACTTCCAATTATATCCCATAGACCAAAATTTAGTTGCAGGTCTCCCCTAAGGGTAAATGCAGTTCTTTAGATATAAGGGTGGCTCTCAGTCTTTGCCACAGATACCTTCCTGTTTTGTTTTGTTGTTAATTTTGCCCTGTTATCCTGAGACTGAGGGGCTAAAGCCTACTTTAAGATTTGAGTCCAGTTTTCCACTAGAAACCCAGTGTCCAATAGAAGTATGATAGGAGCCACATATGTAATTTACAATTTTCTAGTAGCCACATTTAAAAAGTAAAAAGTAGGTGAAATTAATTTTGATGTATTTAGTCTAATATATCTAAATATTTCAATATGTAATCATTATAAAAAATTATTAATGAAAAAAGTCATTGAAACGTTCTACATTATTTTGTAGTAAGTCTTCAAACTCCAGTGTGTATTTTACACTTAATGGCACATCTCCATTTGAATTAGCCACTTTTCAGATGTTCAGTACCCATTCAATGGCAATGGGACTTGAGATGGTATATTCTGCTTTCTTGAATTTTTATCTTTCTTGCCTTCTTCTGTGTGTCACTCAGCATTTTGTCAGGAAAAAAAATAACAGCTCTCAGAGATAATATTAACATTGTGTTGTATTTCCCTCCAGACATTTTTTTTCCCATGCAGTATACCCATAAGGTACATACATATATGTAATGAAATGAACTAGTTTGTGATCTGTTTTTTGTATTAGACAGTACAATTCCCCTAGGGTCTATTTGAAGAGCTACCACTTTGCAGTCTAGAGCAATATACTCCGTAGCGATCTTTCCTGGACTCATCCCAAAATGCCTCTGGCCCTCTTGGTGGATTTACCAAGCTATTTTTAAATTGGCCAGGCAGCTTTCTAGTCAGCAGGATGAGACTCTTGTTGCTAAAAGTTAGCTTAGTAGGAAAGGTCCTTGTGCTCATCTCCATGTGCATTTGATTCTCATTAGATGTGTTATTTAAGTTCTATGAGGTCGCCTCAAACAATGAATTCGCAATTTCTCCAGGGGAACTACAGGATTAGGCTCTGGCAAATGTATGGTCACAATATACTCATCAATTGATAAATACATAAACTATTGCATGTGTATTTTTGTTTGCAGGTTACTTATATATATATTGTTCATTCGTTAACATTAAACTCATGGCCAATAGCACTAGAAATCTTGCCTGAACAAAGTATTTTCTCTTAAGGCACATCACAGCCTTCTTACACTTAAGAACACTAGACAGTATTTCTGCCATTTTGAATGGTGAAATTACCAACAAAAAACAAAAATGTAAGAAAAGGTATTACAGAACCTTCCATCAGATTGACATAAGCATAATTTATAGAAACATCTACTTGTTTGGAGCATATTTAGATGATTTATTTCTCCCAAATAAGTTTTAGCCTTTCCTCAGAGTTAATCAGCCCTTTAAATTCCAGAAAAGAATAGATTGGCTTCTACACAGAGTATTTGTGAAACAACTCCCATCATTTCTTCTAGGAAGCCTCTGGAATGTCAAGTCTTTGTTGTCTTACTTTTAGGCTGAGAGAGTCAGAAACCTGCTCAAAATAGCTTAAGCAAATGAGTAGTGAGGCATGCTGGGACTTTGGAAATGGGAGGCTATCTTAGAAGCCAAGGGCAGGAAGTGAATCAGGATCTGGCAGGTCACTGGGGTTAGAGGTAACTCTCAACATCTTTTCTTGGGCCATGTTGCTCATGTTGCTTCCAGTTACTGTTTTTCCTTGTGCATCACCTTCATTCTCCTCTCTCTACAGCCTGGCTTTCTTGACTCTTCCATTCACATGGGCCAGTGTGACTCCCCAGGCTGGTACCTTCAACTCCCTATGTCTCCCTCCCTGAAGCCCTTTAGGAGCCTTCTCTGGGAATGTCTGATTCCTAGGATCAGGCTTGACCAAGTCACTTGTAGCCAGGTTGGTGACAGCTGGGCAGGGGCTTCTCACTTCGTGGAGAGAAACATGGCTCCAGGGGCCTACCCCTATTGTGGGAAGGGACAGTGTTCAGAGACGTGGGAAGAGAGAAGGAACATGGGCTGGGCAGATGCCCCCTGATGGCATTTTCACTTGTGGATTACCTATGACTAACTAGTTTTGCTCCCATGCTGGCCCACAAGGGATGTTTTTGAACTAACCTCTGAATCATGTACCAGTGGGCACCTAGGGACCGCGGTCTGGGAGAAACTGTTACCCAGCACCTTGGAGTTGTCTTTACCACTGGTTTTATTTATTTATTTACTTATTTTTAATATGAAATTTATTGTCATACTCTGGTTTCTCTTCAGATCGCATAAATCTTTCGCCTTTTACTAAAGAAATTTATTGTCAAATTGGTTTCCATACAACACCCAGTGCTCATCCCAACAGGTGCCCTCCTCAATGCCCATCACCCACTTTCCCCTCCCTCCCACCCCCCATCAACCCTCAGTTTATTCTCAGTTTTTAAGAGTCTCTTATGGTTTGACTCCCTCCCTCTCTAACTTTATTTTTTCCTTCCCCTCCCCCTTGGTCTTCTGTTAAGTTTCTCAAGATCTCACATATGAGTGAAAACATGTGGTACCTGTCTTTCTCTGTATGACCTATTTCACTTAGCATCACACTCTCCAGTTCCATCCACATTGCTACAAAAGGCCATATTTCATTCTTTCTCATTGCCACGTAGGACTCCATTGTGTATATAAACCACAATTTCTTTATCCATTCATCAGTTAATGGACATTTAGACTCTTTCCATAATTTGGCTATTGTTGAAAGTGCTGCTATAAACATTGGGGTACAAGTGCCCCTATGCATCAGCACTCCTGTATCCCTTGGGTAAATTCCTAGCAATGCTATTTCTGGGTCATAGGGTAGATCTATTTTTAATTTTTGGAGGAATCTCCACACTGTTTTCCAGAGCGGCTACACCAGTTTGCATTCCCACCAACAGTGCAAGAGGGTTCCGTTTCTCCACATCCTCTCCAGCATCTATAGTCTCCTGATTTGTTCATTTTAGCCACTCTGACTGGGGTGAGGTGGTATCTGAGCGTGGTTTTGATTTGTATTTCCCTGATGAGGAGTGACGTTGAGCATCTTTTCATGTGCCTGTTGGCCATCGGGATGTCTTCTTTAGAGAAGTGTCTATTCATGTTTTCTGCCCATTCCTTCACTGGATTATTTGGTTTTCAGGTGTGGAGTTTGGTGAGTTCTTTATAGATTTTGGATACCAGCACTTTACCAGTGGTTTTAAATAATCCGATGCCTTTGTCCTCCTTCTCTCTGGTAGCAAGGGACACTGATTGTCTTTTGCATTCTGACACCAGGGAATTGGCCTGTCTCCTAAACAGTTCCATATGGAGCCTTCATGTCCTTAAATACTGGCCACATCACTCCTACTTTGGAACCTGCCATACTCAGGCAGGTTTAAAATAAATTGTGTGCAGTTTAAAATAAATTTCCTTTGACCTTGGGCAAGTTGCTTAGGGTCTTTGAATCTCCATCACCTCTTCTCTAAAATAAGCAATGCCAGGCTCATTGGTTTGTTGTGAGGTGATCTCAGAAGCTGTTTAGAAAAGCTGTGGCACAGAGCCTGGCACATAACAGTGCTAGTCTGTCCCAGCCTGGCATTCCTGAGTTCTTCAGCACAGCACCCTCCCTGTAAAATCCAGGTTGGATGACATGTGCCTGCTTCCAGGATAGGGATGGAAAATTGCAGTTCATGTTACTGAATAATAAGCTGTCCCACTTTTCATCCTCCCATTATATCCCCCTCTATTGCCATGAGAATGAGAAGTTAATTGCTATGTTCCAATTCCCTGGATTTAAATAAAGTTCCTCCTTACCTGCCTGTGAGTGTCTTAGGGGGAAATAAATGAGTAAATACATTGAAAGCACTTAAAACCGTGCTTGGTGCCTGAGTGTTTAATCAATGTTCTCTATTATTTTTTTATTTCCTTTTTTTATTTTAGAGAGAGAGTGAGTGGGGGAGAGGGGCAGAGGGAGAGAGAGAGTATCCTAAGCAGGCTCAGCAGGACCCCGTTGCAGGGCTTGATCCCACAATCCTGAGATCATGACTTGAGCTGAAATCAAGAGTTGGATGCTCAACCAACTGAGCTGCCCAGGTGCCCCTCTATTATTATTAGGTGTAACTGAATCATATCCTCCTCTTCTATGACAGACTGGCCTAAGTAGGGCTGTACTTCTTAGGGGAAGACAATTGCTGGGCTTAACTGCATCTTAAAATGGTCTCTCTGCATATCTGAATGATTCTGTTTGTTGGTTACAGGGCCCAGACTCAGAAGAGGATAAGAAAAAAATAGATTCTTTTAGGGTCTGGAAGAATAGTCCTACTTTTCCCCTTTTGGATCCCCAGGCCAAACTGTCCCCAAGTCCTATTGATTTTTCTTTTGTCATTCCACTTTCATATTGCCATCAGCCTAGATTTGCCCATCAGTGTCTCTTGCCTGATTTCAGGCGAATTCTCATAATTGCCTTTTGCACATGACTGCCAGGTTCATATATCTTAAATTAGTGCTTTCATGATATCATAGTCCTGCTCAAATGCCAGCAGTTTGCCTCCTGTTTTTTTTTCTAGATAAAGTTTAAACAAGTGCTTTACAGTGGAAGTACTGTGCAATGTGTGTATAGAGTTTTAATAGTAGTCCTATTAAAAAGCATGAAAAGAAATGTGAAATTACTTTCAATAATATATTTTATATAACCCAAAATATCCAAAACAATATCATTTCGATATGTAATAATATAAAAAATTAGTGACGAGATAGTCTACATTTTTTTAGGTTTATTTTTTTATTTTAGAGAGAGAGCCAGCGTGAGCAAGGAAGGGGGCAGAGGGGGAGAGAGAGAGAGAGAGAGAGAGAGGGAGGGAGGGAGGGAGGGAGGGAGGGAGAGGGAGAGAGAGAGATCTCAAGCAGGCTCCACGCTTAGCATGAAGCCCGACTGAGGGCTGGATCCCACAGCCATGAGATCCTGACCTGACCTGAGCTGGAACCAAGAGTTGACACTCAACTGACTGAGCCACCCAGCCACCCCAGTCTACATTTTTAAATATACTTAGTGCACATCTCAATTCAGGTACTAAATATCCATTGAAAATACTTGATCTCGGGGCGCCTGTGTGGCTCAGTCAGTTGAGCGTCTGACTTCGACTCAGGTCATGATCTCACGCCCTGTGAGTTCGAGCCCCGCATCAGGCTCTGTGCTGACAGCTCAGAGCCTGGAGCCTGCTTCGGATTCTGTGTCTTCCTCTCTCTCTGCCCCTCCCCTGTTCATGCTCTGTCTCTCTCTGTCAAAAATAAATAAACATTAAAAAAAAAGAAAATACTTGATCTCTTCAGATTTCATGAAATTTACATTTGAAAATTTATTTGAAACCTACCTGACCTCTTTGAAATGTAATTAAAAATATTCCTGTGACTGAAGCATATATCCATTTTTAAATTTAAGTTAAACTAAGTTAAAAACCTAGTTCATCAGCCATATTTCAAGTCTGCAGTGGCCACATGGGGCTACTGTGCTGGATGGTCCAGGTGTAAACTCATGAGCCTGGCATTCAGGTGTTCCAGCCTCATCTCCCCACTGTGGTTACTGGGTCTCTTGATTATAAGGGTCAGAGAGAACAGTTCAGTCTGTCAGATGATGCCTTGGGTGGTTGGAGGAGTTAATAAGAATGTATGTGGACTAGAGCTGGAAAGCAATCAGGACTTAAGACAGATCCAGGGACCAGCCCCACTCCCGTGACCCGTTCTCTCACCTTCAGCTGACTTAACAGGAGAAGTTGAATAGCCAAATCTGGTAGCTTTTCTCAGGAGGAGCTAGAGGCAGTATAGCTAGTGGGCATTGTGCCATTTTTGTGGCCTGACAGGAAGTGAAGTTGTTCATGCCTGGAGAGTTCTAAGGAGGCAGTGCTGAAGCCCCAAGACCAAGGGCAGTGGCTTCTTGGAACAACAGCCTTTTCTGGTTAAGCAGCATGAGCACTGTATTTTGATCACTATCAACTTCAACTGCAAAACCCTATTGCCTTCTAGCTTGCCTCCAGATCCCCACTATTGGAGTCATTAAGAGGAACATGTGTTTTGTGTAGTGGCATCCATGATCACTGTAGCTTGAATTTCCTCTTCATTTCAGCTCCTGGCCTGTAAGGCACTGAGGAATGAGACCTGGGAAGGACTAGTTTTGATGGGAAAAAGTTCTTGATGGAACATTGTAAGGGAACTGGAACCAACATGTCAGTAGTGAGGAGAGAGACAGCATGGGGCTTAAGTAGAGGGGCGAAGCCCATCCTTGTGGGGTTGTCTAGGGCCAGTTCTCTATTAAAGCGGCCCTTCCCCATTGAGCCAGATCCAAAAAAAACCCTTTTGCCTGGTGAAGGAAGTTAGCTTGTTTATTAACACAGCATAAGCTTGCAGGTGTCATCGGACTATGTCCTGACTGTGGTATCCAAGTTGATGACATAAAAGCATTTTTTCCTAACAAGGTGAAGCCATTGCACGCATTAGACATTCAGAATGAAGAGATTCAGCTTTGGATGCCTAGATTTTGCCACTTGGAAACCGCGTGACTCTAGGCAAATGCCATTGCTTCTCAGACTTTAATGTGCGTACAAGTCACCTGGGATCTCATTAAAAATCAACATCTGAGGGATGGGGGTGCCTGGGTGGCCCAGTCGGTTAGGCATCCAGCTTCACCTCAGGTCATGATCTCATGGTTCCTGAGTTCGAGCTCCGCATCAGGCTTTCTGCTGTCAGCGCAGAACCCACTTTGGATCCTCTATCTCCCTCTCTCTCTGCCCTCATCTGCTCATTCTCTCTCTCTCTCTCTCTCTCTCTCTCTCTCTCTCTCTCTCTCTCTCTCAAAAATAAACATTAAAAAAAATCATCTGATTTAGCAGATCTGGGGGAGGGCTTGAGATGTTGCATTTTCAACAAGCTCCCAGGTGATGCCAAGTAGCTAGGACTTAACCTCTCTGTGCCTCAGTGGCCTCAACTATGAAACTTCAGCTGTGAAGTAGGAGATAAATGGTGTGTACTTTACATCCATGTGTACACATGCTGAGGGCCTCTTCTGAGAGGGTGTGTGTTAAGCGGTAGAGCCATGACCAGGTCTTTCCTACTTTCATAAGACTTAAAGTTGGGTGGGACTCTCAAACCTGCCATCTGCCTATAGCTACCTTAAGCTGTTGCCAGGGTGACTCATGTCTTGGGAAAATTGTTAGGGTTGTTGACTTGTTACATTACTTATGAGCCATCCAACTTCATGGCCTTTGCTTATATACTTCCTGCAGCTCAGGTGGGTCCATCAACCTGGGGGTCAGACGTAGCGTTTAATCCTGGCTCTTTCTCCTTTGCCTGCAGGTGGTTGCCTTTATGAAGTCTCCGGTGGGTCAGTACCTGGACAGGCATCCTTTTCTGGCCCTCACTATGCTGGTGTTTGTTGCTGTGTCGGCCATTCCTGTTGGATTCTTCCTGCTCCTTGTGGTGCTTACCTCCCTGGCTGCTCTTGTGGGAGTCATTTTACTGGAAGGTATCCTGCTCATCTATTCACCCCCTTGGAAAATGATTCAGTTGGGAGCACAGTATTTATTTGGCACCTGCCACTGATATCAAAGTTTCCTCTTATTGAAAAAATCAGAATGACCAAGGCAGATTGTCAGAGTAGTTAAAAGATGGACTCTGGAGTCCACATTAGAATCCTACCTCCACAGGGGCGCCTGGGTGGCTCAGTCGGTTAAGTGTCCGACTTCAGCTCAGGTCATGATCTCGCGGTCAATGAGTTCAAGCCCCGCGTCAGGCTCTGTGCTGACAGCTCAGAGCCTGGAGCCTGTTTCAGATTCTGTGTCTCTCTCTTTCTCTGACCCTCCCCTGGTCATGGTCTCTCTCTCTCTCTGTGTCTCTCTCTTTCTCTGACCCTCCCCTGGTCATGCTCTCTTTCTCTGTGTCTCAAAAATAAATAAACGTTAAAAAAAATTTTTTTTTTAAAAAAAGAATCCTACTTCCACCAACACAATTTTGGACAAGTTATTTATCCTCTCTGAACCTCAAACTCCTCATATGTAGAATGGGGATGATATAATAACTGTCTCAAAGCATTATTGTAAGGATTGAAACTTATAGTTCCATAAAGTATTTAGCACAGCCCATGGCACCTAGTAGCTTCTACATGAATAGTAACAGTCTATTTCACAACTAGTTACTGAATATCCGTTGCATGCCAGGTACCTTGCTAGGTACTAATGTTTCCTCTTCACCACCTTTCCTCCTGAAGTCACACTGCCAACTGTCAACTTCTCCTTTTGTTGCTAAGATAAAATTACTGAGAAGGCAGATCTGACCAGCTCAGTTTGCCTTTTCATATCAGATCACAAATCACAAAATACTGGCCAAAGAGGTGGTTGCCATTGGGTCAGGCAATAACCTCTGATTTATCTTACGACTTCCCAGGGTTAAGATCAAGCAGAGTTGTTTCCCTGCCTGGGGAACTGTGGATAAGGCAATTTATACTCAAAGGAGAAAGTGAGCATCATAGGCAGATGAGCAAAATACAGCCTGGCAGAGTAGCTGTTCACTAAATATTGATGGATAGAGAGACAGATGAATGAATGAGTGGAGGAATGAATGAGTACTGTAGCAAAAGTAAATTTAAGGAGGGGAAGAGAACCACTGCATTTTGGTGTATCACGCAAAGTTTAACAGAGGACAGGATTTACAGATCTGTAACAACTCTTGTTTCCTTTGGGGAAGTAAAGACTTTCTAAACAGGAGGAACAGCATATATAAAGCCTTTAGAACAGTAGTCTGGAACTTGAGTGTGTTTAAGTCTTACTTGTGTTTTTGAAGATACAGACTTCTAGGCTTCATCCAGAGATCGTTAGTAGTTCTGGAGTAGGGTCCAAAAATCTGAAATTTTACAAGCCTTCCTGATGCATCTGATTCTGATACAGTGGTTGTTGGCCACACTTGGAAAAACACTGATCCAGGATTTTGCAAATCTTTGTAAAAAGGCAGCACATCCATTTATATTGTCTGATTTCCTTCCTTTGCAAGGTCCGTCCCTGAAATTATATCACTGTAGCCATGAGGATGGAGTCCTGAGTTATTTGACCACTCCCAAGGCAAGGAAAAGGGTATTTGCCTTGCAGTGATGCCCACTCGGGTGGTTAGATTACCTCCTTTTTTTTTTAAATCTTTTTTTAATGTTTTATTTATTTTTGAGAGAGAGAGAGAGAAAGAGCGAGCAAGCAGGTGAGGGGCAGAGAGAGAGAGAGGGAGACACAGAATCCAAAGCAGGCTCCAGGCTCTCAACTGTTAGCACAGAGCCCGACGAGGGGCTCAAACTCACAAACTGTGAGATCATGACCTGAGCCGAAGTCGGACACTAAACCGACTGAGCCACCCAGGTGCCCCTAGATTACCTTCTTTTAAAGTGATACTGGAAACCTGGATCTTTATGGGAAATCTCACTTAAAAAGTCTGAGTTAACTGTCATAAGCACAGTGGCCTTGGGTCTGGTAGCTTTCAATCTGTTTTAGCTGAATGCTTCTCCTAACTATGCTTTCTTCTAGGACTGGTCATCTCTGTGGGTGGCCTCTCACTGCTTTGTGTTCTCTGTGGCTTGAGCTTTGTGTCACTCGTCATGTCAGGGACAATCATGGTGTCCTACGTGATGGTCTCCAGCCTTGTCAACTACTGGTTTTCTCCCAGGTAAATACATGTCAGTGCAATAATTTAATCTTTACCATTTGGGGGTTTTTCACAAATAATACCTTAACCCTATTTGGTTAGTAAAATTGTGAGAGGCAGGTGTTCCTTATTCCATATACATCAGACATCACTTGGGAATTTACGATGGAGTTTCAAACAACCACCACACACAATTACTCATTTTGTTGTCATGGCAACTCTGAAGTAATTGTTACTGATTCCTTTTAAAAGATACCATTAAATTTACAAAAATTCAAATTAAGGGTTTTTGCGGGGGGCAACCGGAAATACTCAGCATGCATGTACCTCAGGATGATGCAGGGGGCCACAAATCTGCTGTTCCCAAAGTCTGTCTTCATTCCCTTTGCTCTTCAGTGTGTGTGTGTGTGTGTGTGTGTGTGTGTGTGTGTATCTCACCATACTGAGTGTGTTATCTTGTGTTTGATTACATGGATTATGTTCCTACATTGTGGCTCCTAAATGCCAGCTACACTTCATCTGGGCCTTCACTGAAGGAACAGTGATGTATTTAAATGCTAGAGGGAAAACCAGCCATACTGAGATTAGTGTAAGACAGTATGTTTGTCTATAATGGACTGCCCTCCTAAGGGATTTTCAGAGATTTTTTTTTTTAATGTTTTTTAAATTTATTTTGAGAGAGAGTGTGTGAGAGCACAGAAGGGGCAGAGAGGGAGAGAGAGAATCCCAAGCAGGCTCTGTACTGTGCAGGGCTTGATCCCACAACCATGAGATCATGACCTGAGCTGAAATCAAGAGTCAGACGCTTAACTGACTGAGCCACCCAGGAGCCCCTAGAGATGATTTTTTTTTTTAATGCTTGATTTTTATCCATTCTCCTTGATGAATTTAGAATCTAAGTCCCAAGTGGGCTGTCCATTATGCTTCATTTAAGTTCTTGCTTAATTGATGACAGCAGCTACCCATCAAGCACTTGCTCTGTGCCTGGGACTCTGTTATGCGCTTTCCAGGCCTTAGTTCATATAATCCTCACAACCACCCTGTGAGGCAGGTACTAGCTCCAATCTATGACAACTAAATGAAGCCAAGTCCCAAAGCAAAGTGTGGCAGAGAAGGGACTTATACAAGTCCCTTAACTCTACAAGTTACTTAACTCTACAAGTCACTTAACTCTAAAGCTTCTTAACCAAGATTCCAAAGTGACTCCAAAACAGGAGTCAGCAAACAATGTCTGTAAGGGGCCAGATGATAATACTTTATTTTAGGCTTTGCAGACCATGTGGTCTCTATTGTAACTCCTCACCTGTGCTGTTGTAACACAGGTGGCTACATGCCTACAAGTGAGCATGGCTGTGTTCCAATAAAACTTTATTTACAAAAACAGGCAGCAGGCCAGATTTGGCCCAAGGGATTTGCCAACCCTTGCCCTAAAAGAACCTACATCCTGAATTTTATTTTTCTGTAGACTAGCCCTTGAACTTCTTACCAAAGTGTTATCCTCTTGTTACTCATGTTGGAAAATAAAATGTGAAGTAGGTATAATTTAAAATACCTCAGGGGTGGTTGTCATAGGCTTGCCTGGTTGATGTCCCTGGAGTTACATTCAGCTTCTCTAAATTGTTTTGATGACTATCAGTCTCAAAGGAGATAAAAGGAAAAATATTAGCCAAAATGTGGCTTATTAAAGCTAATGTTTCTGAGCCAAAATTTCTCCCCACCTCTGAACCCTGCTCTGCTATACCGCAGGAAGTAGCAAAACCTGAATACCACCTACTTGTCAACAAAGAGAGTAAAAAGATATCCAAGAGGGACGCCTGGGTGGCTCAGTCAGTTGAGCATCCAACTTCGGCCCAGGTCATGATCTCAGCATTGTGGGTTCGAGCCCCATGTCAGGCTCTGTGCTGACAGCTCGGAGCCTGGAGCTTGCTTTGGATTCTGTGCCCCCCTCTCTCTACTCCTCCTCTGCTCGCACTCTGTCTCTCTCTCTCAAAAACAAACAAACAAAAAAAGATACCCAAGATTTCTCCTTTATCTCCTTACAGCCCTCTTCTCCTCCCAACCAAGACCCCTGGACTGATTGTTTTCATTAGGGCAGTGGTTCTCAAGCTTTTTACCTTCTTAAAATGACCCATTTTACCTTCTTAAAACTACTGAATCTCCCCAAGTTTTTGTTCATGTGGTTTAAATGTACCAATAATTACTGTAGTAGAAATTAACAAATTCAAAAAATATTTATTCCTTTAAAAAGAGCAGTTTTACCAGTTGATGTAAATAACATCTTTATAAGTAACATTTTCCCATTACAAAATGAAATAAGTGGCATTGTTTTACATGTTACAAAGATCTTTAAGGTCTCCTTAATAGAGGTCAGCTGGGTTTTGCAGACCCCGCCTCACAAATGTGTGACTGACAAAGAGAGGAAAAGCTTTTTCAGATGACTGTGGATGTTCTTTGATAGTACACCAAAACTCAATACGTGGTAGTTTCTCAAAGGTTAACTGAAATGTGACTTTTTGTAGTTCATTATATTAAAATCTACTGGTCTGTCTTGCACTTTTATTAGATCTTCTATGGTGCGTGTTTTTTAACTTCATGCATTGCTCATTTGGAGAATATTGGTTCATGGAGTCATGCAGATGTTCCACATATACTGTGAAAACTCCACTGTTGGGGCACTTGAGTGGCTCAGTCAGTCGAGCTTCTGATTTAGGCTCAGATCATGATCTTGCGGTTTGTGAGTTCAAGCCCCGCATTGAGCTCTCTGCTGTCAGCACAGAGCCCCCTTTGGATCCTGTTTCCCTTTCTTTCTCCCTCTTCCCCACTTATGCTTTCTCTCTCTTTCTCAAAAATAAGCTTAAAAAAAAAACACTCCACTGTTCCTTTGTGGAGAATGAGAGCAACAAAGGCATTGAGCATATTATATTACTATGAAAATAGTTGTCACCTGAAAATCCTTGCACTAGTGAATTCTTAAACTCAAGAAACTCTTACTGAATGTTCCAAAGCATAGGGGGAAGAAAGAGGAACTGTTCACTTTATTCCATGATGCAAATGGGATCTTGACCTTAAAACAAAAGATAATATGCAGCTAAAATTTTTGAAAAAGAAAAAAGGGAATAAAACTGTAAGATGTCCTTAAGAAAATGGATTAACTGCATGGTGTCATCTACATACCAGCCACCTTATGTCTTTTGGTGTTGCCATGCTTAGCCCACTGGTTTGTGACCTCATGGCCACAAGAAAGCTGTTGTGGCTCTGGCTACACCAAGAACATTCAAGGCAGGATGAAGGGAGAAAAAAAAAATGAGACCTCCCTCACCACTTGAGTCTGACCATTTTTATCAAGTAAGTGCAGTTTTTCTTAGGACCTCTCCGCATCCTGTCCAAGCTGACTTCCTTGGCTAGAGTTGTGTCAGTTGGCTGTTAAGCTGGCAAGGAGGCTGTGAGATGGAGTGCTGTTTTCTCAGCTGTGTTGGTCAGCCAAACTCTGGTGTATGCCACAGTTTTCCGCACTGGGGTGTCCATGTTGGCAAAGGTATTTGAAATTCAAAGATAACCTATAGATGCACTTAATATCGATAATGCTATCTCCACTCTCACTCCCCTCAGAAACTTGCCATCACAGGGGCTAAAAAAGACCTATTTGTCTTCCTTTTTGCCCCTACCTCTCTTCTGTTGAAGATGTCAAGAAACAGCGGATTAATTGGAATCAGAAGATATGGGTCTCAATCCCAGCTCTGCCATTTTTTAGCTGTGTGATCTTGAACAAGCTGCTTAACTTCTCTGTTCTCAGTTTTCTTTCACTGGTAAAATAGGGCTACTCCAACAATCACTGGATTATTGAGAGAATGTGAACAATACACTGAGAAAATGCAGTGTCCAAATTAGAATAGGGGGAAGGGCCATAATCCCTACCCCTAACTCAGTCATTTTAACCTCTTGTACCCTCAATTTCCATCTGTAAATGGTAAAGCCTCAAATCTGGTGTTTCAAGAAGTAGCTAAAAACAAACCAACAAAGAAAGTCCTGTATTCAGTTTTGTGCATGCTCAGCATTAAAGCTCTTTAAAGAGGCCCTATGCCTGGGTAGCTCAGTTGGTTAAGCCTCTGACTTTGGCTCAGGTCATGATCCCATGGGTCATAGTTTCAAGCCCCACATCGGGCTCTGTGCTGACAGCTCAGAGCCTGGAGCCTGCTTCGGATTCTGTGCCTCCCTCTCTCTCAGCCCCTCCCCCACCCACGTTCTCTCTCTCTCTCTCTCTCTCTCTCTCTCTCTCTCTGTTTCTCTTTCTCTCTGTCTCTCACAAAAATAAATAAGCATTAAAAAACAAATAAACATGGGGTGGCAAGTGGTTTAGTCAGTTAAGCATCCAACTTCGGCTCAGGTCATGATCTCACTGTTTCTGAGTTTGAGTCCCGCATCGGGCTCTGTGCTGACAGCTCAGAGCCTGGAACTTGCTTCAGATTTTCTGTCTCCCTCTGTCTCTGCCCCTCCCCCACTCATGTTCTATCTCTCTCTTCCTTTCTCAAAAATAAATAAGCATTAAAAAATAAATAAACATGGGGTGGCTGGGTGGTTTAGTCGGTTAAAGCATCCAATTTCAGCTCAGGTCATGATCTCACTGTTGGTGAGTTTTAGTCCTGAGTGGGGCTCTGTGCTGACAGCTCAGAGCCTGGAGCCTGCTTCACATTCTGTGTGTCTCTCTCTCTGCCCCTGCCCTACTCATGCTCTGTCTCTCTCTCTCAAAAATAAACATTTTAAAAAATAAAAAATAAATAAAGAGGCCGTAGGGCTAACCATTTCCTCTTGTTACCAAACAGACTGTTAACACAACAAAACTCCGGTGGCGACTGTCAGCTTGCTATGAAGTCCGCAGACTTAGAGGGGCTCTACCAGGAATGATCGGCTGAGCGGAGCCAGAGCTTTTTGCAAGCACTTCTCGAAGTCTGTGGATCATACTCAACCCTTAGGATTGACTCAGATGGGGGCTGGGTGGTCAAACACTCCCTGTATGTGTCCTCTAGCCTTTTCTCTTATTTGTAGGATCCTGCGGGGGCAACTTGAGGCCACTTGGTGATCAGTTGCTCTTGAGTCCCTGTGGTTCTGTTGGCTGACCCACCCTCACGTGAGAATTAGCTAAAAATTGCAGTGGCTTGGCAGCTCCTCCCACCTTTCACTCCTCTCCAGTGTGCGGTCTTGACTTTGGCCCCACTCCTTACAGCCAGCAGCTTGACCCCAAAGACTCCAATCTTGTGTCCAAGGGCCCAACTGGGGCAACTATGGTTTCTTTTTTTTTCTTCTATCTTCCTTCCCTCCCTCCCCTTCCTTCCTTGCTTCCTTTCTTTTTTTTCTTTGTTTCTGAAATGAGGAAGCTGTTTATTTCTTCACCTCCTTGAAACGAGGTGGCAAAAGTGATCGAAAACAGAACAAATTCTTCTGCCTTATTAGCTTTGTATCAGAAAAACTAGCAAAATTTGGTAATTATGGCCTCTCAGACAAAGCTGGAAAATACAGTCCAAAGTTAACTTTATGGCCAAGGGCACTTTTGAAAAAGTCTAAAGGCTTAGTTCCCATGTTGAGTACTGTTAAGTGCTGTTACTTTCTAAAATACTTGCACTTGACACTTTTGTATTGTTTTCAGGAACTTGTTAAGCCACATCTGTAAAAAGTCCTATGGAATGCTAAAGGATTACACAAACTTTTAAAATCCCATGGGATTTCTACTTCAGTGGTCTGCTGTGGCATTTTATTAAATATTTATCTAGATGAGCTTCTTAACTCTTTATTTCACCCCCAAGACATCATACCTGCTTATTCCTTCTCTGTTGATTTCATGTCAGATCCCAGGTAATAGGGTTTGTGATAGACACTCCACCCGAAGTGGCTTTAAAAAGTGGGGCGCAGAAGGGGGAAGTTCATTTCACTCAACTAAAAAGCCAGGGGTTAGATTTTCAGGTACTGCCGGATCCAGTGGTGCTTTGAGGCATCTCTCTCAGCCCTCAGCCCTACTTTCCTCCCTGTGAGCTCCTTTTCCAGTCAGGCCCTCCTTACCTGGGGTCCCAGCAACTCTGGCTTTACATCAACCCTACAGTCAGCACTCTGCACTGGTAAGAAAGCTGCTCTTTTCCAACAGTACAAGCAGATGTTCTGGGCTTGGCTCTGATTGGACAGACTTGGGTCATGTGAGCAACCCTGAACCAATCACAGTGGCCAGGAGGTTAGACTCTGCTGATAGGGCAGGGCTGGGACACAGGTTCATGGGAACCAGGGATGGTTTAGGTCAGGTCCACTGGTTTCACATAGGATGGTGTGCATACTCCCAAAGGAATATGAGAAGGAGAGGAAATATTTACTGGGCAAACTAAAATAATAAGCCTGCTACTTGTGATAGGGCATAAAGGCCTTCATCTGGAAACTTCTGAATCCCTTGACTGTCATGCCTGTCCCTAAAGGTGGTTTTACCTCTACTTGAGAACAAGAGGTGCCCTTTCTTGCCAGTATTAACAGTTGGTATTTATTAAATGTTTCTTTTCTTCATGCAAGGGTCTGCTATTTTCTGTCGATGGTATCTACCCAGCTGGGTTCTGAGGCTTCAGTAATGGAAAAATGAAAAGGTCCCCAGTCCTGAAGTTCACTTTCTAACACAGGAGTTGTTTAACAAGTGAATTAAATGTTGCTGTATAGCAGTTTACCACAAACTATAGACTTAAAAGAGCATATGTTAACTCACATTTTCAGTGTGTTAGGAGTCCTGGCTCAGCTGGGTCCTTTGAAAGACTACAAACACAGTGTTGCCAGGGCTAGGTTCTCATTTGAGGCTCACCTGGGGAAGGATCCACATCCAAGCCCACATGGTCACTGGCAGCATCCAGTTCCCTGCAGTCTATATGGAACTTCACACCTGGCAGCTTGCTTCTTCAAAGCCACTGAGAGAGAGAGTCTCTTAGCAAGGCAGACATTACATTCTTATGTAGCATAATCACGTACATCTTGTCACTTTCACTGTATTCTGTGGGTTAGAAGCAATCACAGGTCCCAACCACACTGGAAAGGATGGGATCGCACAAAGGCATGTGTACCACAGGTTGGGATCATGGGCTCTACCTTAGAGTCTACCTGCTACAACAAGCAGACAAAGTATTAGATTGTGACAAGCATATCAATGAAAGTAAAGGATGATAAATAACTGTGGGAGGCCAGTTTAGTCACAGCAAGCAGGGATTTCTTCTCTGAACCAAAGAATGAGAAGTTACTGCCATGCCATGAGCTGGGGCTGCATGTTCCCAGCAGAAGGCACAGGGACACAAAGGCCCAGAGACTGGAAAAATCGAAATGTCAGTGTGGCTGGGCCTGGTAAGCAAAGGGTAGATGAAAGAGATAGGAGTCCATCGTGCACTGGTCCATATAGTAAGAAATTTACACCAATGAGTAAAGGGAAGACCATAAAGTTTAGAGGGACATAGACTTGGATGTTAAAAGATCATTCTATAGGCAGTGGGTTGGGAGCTGAAAGCCATTTAGGTCTCCAGAGGCCCAGAGCAGAGGATGGTTGTGGCACCACACTGGGATGGAGGTAATGGAGACCTCCCTCCCTTGGAGAGCCGGCAGCATCTGGTGGTTGATTGCATGTGGATGATGAAGGAAAGGGGGACATAAATTTTTTTAACTTGAGCCGGTGGGTAGACAGAGAAACTATTTTTCTGAGGTGGGGACTGGGTGAATATTCAAAATCTGCTTTGCTTATATTAAGTCAGATACGCCTTTAACACCAATAGGATTAATCAAGTAGACTGTTGGCTTAGAGTGTAGGTCTGGGCTGAGGATATAATGTTTGGGAGTATTTTCAGTGCTGAGAGCTTTACACAGACATCTTATGAGATGGTCTCCTAGGAGTAGCCAAGAGATCATTTTAAAACACATTTCCGATTATATAAACATCCTTACTTCAAACTCTGCAAGTACAAGGTGCTTTCCCACTACACTTGAGTGAGACCCATCACAAGCTGCCCCTGCTGGCTTCTCATTTTTTGTATGCATCAGCCTCTGAAGTTTAGAAATGAAACTAAGGTTTAGAGCAGAACTGACTCACTAATTCTGCCAAGAAATGTGGCATCTAATCATAGCTTTGCAATTCAGGCTCCCCATAATATTGCCTGGAGCCCAAGGCCTTTGCCAATCAAACAAAGTAAAATAACGTACAGAACCTAGCAGAGTGCCTGCCATAGAACGGGCCCATAAGGCACAGTTGTCAAAATGCACAGTGCACCATCGTTTAAAACAGTGCAACAGGAACGTGTAAGAGGCCTATTGTTAGCCAAGCTTGGAGGAATGTTAGGACTCACCCATTATTCAAAAGGTGCCTGCTTTTTAGATATAGTTCAATGTGCGGCTCATTTGGAAAGGTAATTTATCCTCAGAGCATGAAAGCTGTGACTTTATACAGCCAGAATGTTAATTTATCAGTATGTCTCTGTTTTTGCCACATGTTGGGTGCGATCTTGAAACCTCTACAAATCAATACACGTTTTCAGTCCATCCTCACTACCACCCATTTTAGAGATGAAGAAGCCAAAAGACTGAGTGGTTAAACTGTTTTAAGGGCACACAGAAACAAGTGGGATTCAAGCCCAGTCTGCCTGACTACAAAACCCACCTGTGTAACCCGTGTACTGTTCAATATCCACTCCTCCAACCTGCCTTTGAGGCCTTCTGAAATTTGGACCCATGCCCTAATAGATGCCATCTGCGACCGTACCCACATCCTTTGCTGCCGTGTCACTGAACTCCAGAGATCGCCGCTTTCATGAAACGGAATGTGAGCGATTGGCTTCCCCTAAAATTGTCCCCATTGAAGTAACCATTTCAACTACCACTTGTGTGCAGCTTCTGCAGTCTGCTCCGTGTAGAACAGGGTGTCATAGGTAAGTGATGAATCCCTGAATTCTACTCCTGCAACCGATATTGTACTGTATGTTAACTAACTAGAATTTAAATAGAAGTTGGAAAAGAGAGAAAAAACAGGGGGATTGAGCCCAGAAGTTGCGGCATTTTGGCAAAGGCAGATCAGGCGTGAGTTGTCGCAAGAAGGTTGAGAATGACTAACGGTACTTTCATGAGGTTCTGCTGTGCTTCCTTGAGCAGGAGAGAAAAGGTGGAGCTAGAGAGAGGACGTAGAATTTGAGAGTAACCTTACCTATGCCATGGCATCCCCCAGAACCCCTGTGCGTGCATGCATACACATATCCTGAGTGATTAAATTATGCGTGCACGCACGTGCGTGCACACACACACACACACACACACTCTCTGAGTGATTGGTAAGAGCTGTGACAATTATAAATTATTAAAGTGCTTTCTTTGCCTTCCTGAAGGAAAGGAAGGGGGTAGGGATTACATACAAATTTGGTGTGCCTCTTGGGTGTGTCGTTAGGGTGGATATTATCCATCATGTGTGTGGCAGAAAAGTTGAAAATCAATGGTGTTGGGCATACCCTTTCCAAACCTCCCTTTTTGAAACATTTCCACCTTCCACAGTCCAGCTTAAATTGAAGTCATGTCTTGCTGTGTGCACTGTCTTTATATGTACAGCCCTTGTGGACCAGGCATGGTGAGCAAGTGACAACCTCTCTGTGTGTTGACTTCCTCAGTCTGTAGTGAGAATGCTACCCACCCAGAATCTTTGGGAGGTGGAGGCAAGTGATCTCTAGATTATAAAAGTGCTACAACACAGTGGAACAATTATACCCTTCCTCAACGAAATTGTCTCTTGCATTTGTCCTTCCTCCCACCCTGCTTACGTGCCTCCTCTCCACCAGTGCTCTGGGGATGGAAACAAAGTCCGTCTATTCACTTTGGGTAGCCTATAACCTTATACATAGAAGCCCCTGAACAACATTTTCCATTGACTAGAAAGATCAAGAAGTCTGGATCTATAGCCTGTTCCCGTCTGGCAGCATCTGGAGGCATTTTTGATTGTCATGACTGTGTGTGTGTTTGGAAGAGGGGGTGAGGCTGGCATCTGGTGGGTTGAGGCCAGGGATGCTGCTAACCATCCTACAGTGCATATGACACCTCCTTACAAAAATATTATCTGGGCCCAAATGTTGGTGCCAAGGTTGAGAAATCTTGATGTAGACAAATAATGAGAATTAAGAGCATTAGGCCAAGCAAGGCACAGCTCGTCTGGGATCAGAGGCTGGAGTTGGCCAGGTCTGTGCTAGAGCAGCCAGTTACAGTAATGGCATCAGGAAAACACCTTCATGTTTGTGAAACAAACATTTCAGGTTTTCAAAGACCTTTCACATCGATTACTATTTTTGACCTTTCACAACAGTTTTGCAAGGTCACTCTCTTCCAACTTCATGTGATATTCATCAGCTGGCAGAAGAGGAAACTGGGCCAACAGTTTGCCAAAGGTCTCAGGGCTGGCTGGTGACTACCCCATCACCAGCCTGCCAGGTCAGGCACTGTTTGTTCATCTCTCCCTGCTTTGTTGTTAAAGCAGAAGTGACATGGGGCACCTGGGTGGCTCAGTCGGTTAAGCTCCAACTTCAGCTCAGGTCATGATCTCACAGTTCGTGGGTTCGAGCCCTGCCTTGGGCTCTGTGCTGACAGCTGGGAGCCTGAAGCATGCTTTGGATTCTGGGTTTCCCTCTCTCTGTCTGCCTTTCTCTCTTTCTCTCTCAAAAATAAATAAAAATTGGGGCGCCTGGGTGGTTCAGTCGGTTGAGCGTCCGACTTCGGCTCAGGTCATGATCTCGCAGTCTGTGAGTTTGAGCCCCGCGTCGGGCTCTGTGCTGACAGCTCAGAGCCTGGAGCCTGCTTCAGATTCTGTGTCTCCCTCTCTCTGACCCTCCCCTGTTCATGCTCTGTCTCTCCCTGTCTCAAAAATAAATAAAACGTTAAAAAAAATTTTAAATAAATAAATATTACCAAAAAAAAGCAGAAATGACAAGGCTGAGTCACGGGGAAAGTGGACTCCTTGGCAGGGGGGAATCCGAGCCATCTAGGTTGGAGAGGGCATGGCCCCCCGGCCCCCCCCCCCCCTCCGCTCCGGGCTGTAGGCATTGTTCAAGTTTCCAAAACGCAGGAGGAGACTCAAGGTCCTATACGTATGCTATGCCCCTGTTTAGGTGCTGGAGCTTCAAGCCCCATTTGAAACCCTTAAAAAAAAAAAAAACAAATGGATCAGAAGTGTTTCCTAAAGAAAGCGCTTAATTTCTGAGCCAGAAGAGGGAGCTCACGTTCAGGCAATATGAAGCTGGGCCAGCAGGGAGTAGCGCTAACTGGAAGAAGCTTTTGACTCACACATCAAATGTTAACTTGCATCCATTAATGTGCATTGTAAATGTGCATTCGTAACAAGGAGTCCTGCTACAGGGCAGATTCTGAATCCTTAGGTCTGGAGCAGGACCTGAGTTTATGCGTTGCTTACCAGCTCCCAGGGGAAGCCTTGCACAGACCACACACCTTGGGTAACAAGGTAATAAATAGATTGCCTCTTCAGTCCTCTCCTGAAGATGCACACCTGAGGCCAGACACTGTAAGTCTGCAGTACCAGGGCTAGAACCCATGTTTCCTGCATCCATGCTTGCTTCCTGGCATCTTCCCTGCCCCTGTGACCCTAACAGAATTAAGGGAGGAGGATCCATTCCTAAGTATGGAAGAGAAGAGACCATACTGTCTGCTTTGAATTGGTAACCTCATAGATACTGCCAGTTATTTTACCAGAAAAAAGATGGGTTTATCTGTGAATAAAAGAGAATTGCAATTGGGGACAAACAGCAAAACTGTAGGCAAGTCCAGGTTACAAGGGAGAGGCATGCTTTTTTTTTTTTTTTTTTTAAATGTTTGTTTTTGAGAGAGAGAGAGACAGAGTGCAAGCTGGGGAGGGGCAGAGAGAGAGGGAAACAGAATCTGAAGCAGGCTCCAGGTTCTGAGCTGTCAGCACAGAGCCCAGTGTGGGGCTTGAACCCACCAGCTATGAGATCATGACCTGAGCTGAAGTTGGATACTTAACTGACTGAGCCACCCAGGTGCCCCCCCCCCACTCTTTTTTCTGAGAGAGAGAGAGCACGTATGCGTGAGCATGCAAGCGGGGGCAGAGGGAGAGAGAATCCCAAGCCGGCTGCATGCCCAGTGCAGAGCAGGGTCGATCCCACAACCATGAGATCATGACCTGTGTCAAAATCAAGAGAGGGACAGCTCAATGGACTGAGCCACCCAGGTGCCCTGAGGAACGCTCTTTTTAAGGAGAGAAGGGGTAAATTGGGAAGGCTGTTATGAACTAAAAGTCCATTGGAGAAACTGGGAGTTTGAAGTATAGTGGTTTCTCATTGGTTGAACTGTTGCCTGATGGGGGTGAGGGGGGGCAGGAAATGAGGAAAACATCTCTACTTCCACCTGGAAGAGTAGAGTGGTTCCCTATTCACAGTAAAATTCATCTCTTCTGTTGTGTCTGCAATTGATTTGGAGTGGTAGGGCATGGGAACTCCCCATGCCAAAACTTCCTGACTCCATTTTAGTGATGTTTCCTGTTACTAATTTTCATAGAATCAAACTTCTTTGTACTATATTTTTGGTCAACCACTTCCCCACGTGAGGACCAGTGGGAATTCAAAGATGAACAGAACAAGACTCTGGTCCTCTTGGGCCTTGTGTGAGCCAAAACAAAATAAATGTAACAGAAGGTGCTCTTCTTTGTGATTTATACAAATTTGGCTATTAATCCAAAGGACAGCTTACATATAACTTGGGGTGTTCTTACAGATGCAAATTATACCCATAGTCATTCTCCTAAAAATAAAGGTTCTTTAATCCTGAATCATTTTGAGTGTTTTTTACCTACAAGAAACAAACGGCCTCCCTTTAAAAGTAGGAATCCTTATGGGGTGCCTGGGTGGCGCAGTCGGTTAAGCGTCCGACTTCAGCCAGGTCATGATCTTGCGGTCCGTGAGTTCGAGCCCCGCATCAGGCTCTGGGCTGATGGCTCAGAGCCTGGAGCCTGTTTCTGATTCTGTGTCTTCCTCTCTCTCTGCCCCTCCTCCGTTCATGCTCTGTCTCTCTCTGTCCCAAAAATAAATAAACGTTGAAAAAAAAAATTTAAAAATAGGAATCCTTAGAATCTCACTCAACATCAAAGATTGTTAAAATTTCAGCTGAGTAAATTTGAAGATCTAATTGGTTGTGAGAAATAAATCCACTGGCCCAATCAAAGGAGGGACTAGGAGACTTGGAGCACAGTGAAGCAAGGCTTCAATCAAAGTTCTTGCAAGAGCAGGTATCTGATGGACAGGCACAACTCGGGGCAGTTATAGCATGCAATTTATCTTCTAGCGTGCACGTTACTCCCCTGGTTCCTCATTGGCTGAGTACTACAGAGGTGACAGCCTTACCTGGAAGTCACCTATAGCCATGTAGTCTGATTGGAACAAATGTACACTCCTTGAGGTGACCCAGAGAACTTCAGTTCTTTGGCACATGCTCATTGCAGAGCCCACAAAAAATAAGCCTGGGGAAATGGAGAGGGGAGGAATAACCAGGAAGTGAAGTGTCCAAGCATTGGGGACTCCATTGTTGCAAGGGGTGGGGGAGGGGTGTGTGTGGGCAGCTTGTACATATTTCCAATAGGTTGTAAACCTATGGTTAACTAGACAGCACAGCTTTTATTTGGTGTGTTTGAAAATGAATCATCTCACTTCTCACATTGGTTTTATGAAGCAATTCATGAATTCCATCTAGCAAGTAGAGGGGATCTCTGAGGAGCTGTACAAAGTGGAAGGTTTTTATAGGAAAGAGGGTAGGGCAAAGAAGTTATTAGCAAAAGAAAAAAATTGTTTTAGGCAAGGTCACTCTCCCTTAGGGGAAGAGCAGGAGGTCTTACACAGATAAAGATGATCTCATCTTATTTTGGGGAATGGAGAGGGCCCATTGGTGCTGATTAGAAAATTCCTGATTTACCAGTTAAGACTACATTTCTGGGGTAGGTTGAAACTGCAATTAGATTAGGTATTAAGCTCTGTTTTGGTAACTTGGCCTAGCATAAGTTATTCCATTTTGGGGCCTGTGGTTTTCTTTTTAAAAGATGCAAGTGACTCCAGGGTTGATTGAGGAAACACAATGAAGTAGTCAGGAATTTAGGTTTTCTGTTTTTACTCCGTCATTCTCAGTGTCATTAGGTTTATTTCCTCATGGTCACAAGATGGCTGCCACAGCTCAAGGAATCACAATGTCACACAACCACATCCACAGGCAGGAAGAAAAGGGGCTAGAATTACATAACTTTTTTTTTTTTTTTTTTTTTTTTTACACAAGGAAGCAAAAGACAGAAGCCCCCTTCCAATATCCCTCAATAAATGTGATTGAACAGAATCATATGCTTGCTGGTAGCTGATCTGCAAGAGGAATGAGACTTTATCTTCATTATTTAGCTCAATCTGGGTATATCCCCTGGGGGATATACTACCCCATTCCAGAACAAAGTCAAATTTCTCTTATTAGGGAAGAAGGGAGTGGGGAGAGAAGATGGAGGATTCTGGGACCAACTCCAATGTGTATGTCAGGGCAGGGTGGGGGTGGGGGGTTTCCCATACCACCAAGCAATTCTGACACCATCTTGTGTCCTACAATTTAACTGAATTCTGTGACTATCTGATGTCACTGTGGCATCAGATCCCACACACAGGTTAAGGTCTAGGTCTTATAAGACTGACTCCACCCCAGCCCACCCTGCTTCAGGTGCCAGTCACAAGTACAGGTTGTCACCTGTGCTCCTCCTAATGGACTGGCTACAGATAGGAGGTTCTGATGAGACCCTCCTTGGGTTTGATGAGTTTGCCGGAGTGTCTCATAGAACTCAGAGAAACATTGTACTTACTAGATTACTGGTTTATTATTAAAGGATGTAATTCAGGAATAGCCAGATGGAATTGATGCAGAGGCATGGAGAAAGGACAAGGAACTTCCATATCCTCTCTGAAAGCATCACTCTTCTCAAATCCCCACCTGTTTGGATTTTACAGTCATGATTGGTTAAGTCCCTGACCACTGGTGACTGATTCAACCTCTGTGCTCTCTCCCCATCAAGGGGGTGGGACTGAAGGTCTCTACAGTCTATTTGAGGTTGGTGTCCCTGGCAACAAATCCCCTTCCCTGGTTATCTAGGGGCTTTCCTTAAGTCGTCTATTAACATTACAAAAGACTCCTTGATTGCCCTCTTCACTTAGGAGATTCCCAGGGTTTCAGGAGCTCTGTGCTAGACCTGGACAAAGACGAAATATGTATTTATTATAAATCACAGTATTACAGTAAAAGAAAGGGGGAAGAAAACCCTTTCTGATTAAGCAGCCAACACTACACTGTCTGTTCCAGTGCACTCATGACTGTTGTAGTTGTGTTTATTCACAAAATAAAGTTCTTCAGGTGCCCTGTGATCAAAGGTCAGGACCAAGAAGCTTAGCCAAAATGGTAACCTCTGGCAGGGAAATCTACTCTCAAGAGAAGAAGTCGTTACTCCTGCCCCCCCGTTGGCCCCCCCCCCCCC